TGTGAAGAATTTCCTTCAGGACGATTAAAGTTTTATTTTTATCGCATGTTGAAGTAGTTTTTGGTTTAGTTTGACCAACAGAACCGCCCTGTGCAGTAAAACAAAGTCATAAAGCCCTGAATCATGAACATAAAGAAGAAAAGTGGAATTTCTTTGGTTATTTATGGTTCAAACATCAACGCTAACCTGTTATCTCCTACGTGCTGGACAGAGACGCTGCCTGCAGTCCAGTCGATTCATTCCTCTTTTCTGTGGCGCCGCCGTTGGTTGGATCAGAACCGCAGACGGCTTCTCTGCTGCTCTGAAAAACGCTGAATTTTTTGTTTTCTTTCAGAATCTGTTCAGAGCAAAGACTTTATTTTGGGGAATTTTTAAATGAGGCGACTATAAAGCGATTCGGTCGATTTTGCTGCGTTCAAGGACCGTGGTAAATTTAAACATCAAACAATTCTTTCTGTTTTTACAGTTTCTGGCTTTAAAAGGTGTGATTTTATTGTTTGTTTTATTTATTTTCATTTCTTTTCAGACTTTTTTCAGTTTTGCTGCTTTTTTGCTGCACACGCTCAGTTCAAGGCCCGTCGTAAAACTGAACTCTTGTGCCTGTTTTTACGGTTTCTGGCTTTAATAACCGGTGCAGACTCATGTTAAAGACTTCCTTACTGCTCTGGGAAACGCTGTTTAACAGAAAGACACTGACTTTTGTTTTCTGCACATCTTCACTCTGACATCCAGACAGCGCCGACAGCAACAGAGTTTACTGACATTTATTTAACTATCAGCTGCTTGGTCACCACTGTCACTATTATACACGTTAAATAAAGACGTTGTTTTTTTCACTTTCTCACAAATCTGAGCGTTGGTTTGCAGCTGGAAGCAGAGAGCAGCGTTCTGCCAGAGCGACTCGTTTTTCCTGCACAGTTCAAACTGAACATTTCCATTAGAGCTGCTTCCCGTCGGCCCGGCGCTGACAACGGGACACGTTCAGTTTAGTTCCACTCACAGCCAGCAGGTGACTGACAGCAGAACTAATGATACCTGAAGAAACACAGAAAGGTCACAGCGCAGCAAAAAAACCCAACAAGAAGTAAAAGAACAGCGCGCACGTCGTAAATTAATCAACATGCAGCTCTGAGCCTCCACCTTCCTCAGGTCCAGAGGCTCGGTACCATCCGATACTGGGTGTGTTTTAATTAAAAATGTCAGGCCAAGGCGCTGCATCGGGCTGAAGGGAGACGGACCGGTTCTGTGGTTCCACTGAGCCGGACGGGTTTCTGGTCAGAGCCGACATGTGGGATTGTTTTAAGGAAGGTGAACGTGAGCCGAGCGCTGCAGAACCAACACGACAGAGCTCATTACCCGGGACGGACCGCCGGCGATTAACGGGCTCTCTGACAGTTCAAAACAAATAGGCCGGCTAATGAAGGTCCTCAGAGGAGCAGGCCGGAGCCTCCCACGTGGGCCCGGCCCGGCCCGGCGCTCTAATGGGTTTAGCCGACACCGAGAAAACGGAGACGCAAAAATTAGAAGTCACTTCCTGTTTCCTGGAGCCCCGAGCTGACACGAACAATATCCACCAATAACAAGGACCACAGGCGAGGAGCAGAGACGGGCCGCGCCGAGACGGGCAGCGCCGAGACGGGAAGCGCCGCGGTTACAGCCGGCTGGACTGAGGCTGGAGGCTGGACGGAGGCTGGAGGCTGGACGGAGGCTGGACTGAGGCTGGAGGCTGAACGGAGGCTGTTTTAAGTCTGACTGGACTCTAAAAGGACTAAAATCAATGTTCAGGCTGGAATGAAGTCACACATGACCTCAAACGTCACAGAATCATGAGTTTAATTAATAAAATAAGTGAAGATTTGCTTGTTTTTCACAGAACTGTGATGCTTTAATACTATTTATTCTCACTGTGGACTCATTCTTCAGCTAAATTAAATATTATCTGTACGGCGCCAAGAGGCTGGACGGCAGAGAAAAGCTGTAACACAAAGAATCAATGAAAAAGATCAAATTTATAAACATGCATTACACTTTGCTGCTCTGCTCCAGATGTATTTAGCTCATTTATTTCATGTTCAGTTATGATTCAGATTCTATCTGATTGTTTTTCTACTTTTTAGATGCTCGTTTCTTTTCTAAAACAAATTGCTTGTTTTTTTAAACAAATATAAGAACTTCGTTTGGGAAGTTTCATTAATCACGACATTTTGTTTTATGAGCTCATTTAACACCAAACCAACCCACAGGTTAACGAATAAGGACCACCACCTGGTTCTGATCCAGATCAAACCTTTCAGACTCTAAAACGTCTCTTTCTAGGAAACAACTGTAAACCAAACACATCTTTTAATCCACAGCCGTCACATCTGCTCAGGTTTCTCTACCAGCAGACGGTAACGACAAAAAACTAAAATAAGAAAAAGCTTCACATCTGTCCGGTTCTCTCCAAATTAAAAGCATGTGTCGGAGCTCCGCCGCTCTGTGACTTTTACAAAACACCTTTTTTTTTTTCCTTTCTTTTTTTTCCAAAGGGGCAGAAAAAATTAAAAACCTCCTAAAGAGTGTGTGTGACGCACATCACACCTCGGCCGCATTGTGGAGAAAATTAAGAGAAGCCCAGAAGCAGCAGCACTTCAGGTTCTGCTGGTCCTGCTGTGATGAAGCCTCCTCCTCCTCCTCCTCCTCCTCCTCCTCCTCCATCAGCAGCACAGTTCAACCTGCAACAAGCCGGAGCTTCCTACGCGCACCGGGGGACTAGTTGTTGGCCTCAGCGCCCCGCTGGACCACAGAAATCCCTCCGCCTGCTCAGAACCGGCGCTTCTTGAACCGGCTGCACTTCAGGAACAGCTTCTGATAAAAACAATTAAAACTAAAATAAGCTCACAGGTCAAGAATGATCAGCGTCGGACGTTTAACTCTCGCGATGACAAGCCCTGAAGTGTTTTTTCTTTTTGCCTCCTTTCAGCTAGGTTGGTGATTTCCTCCATTTCCCAGAATGCCGTTCCCCGGGGATCGGCCGCAGCCATGTTTGCTTCATCTGCACTTGGCCTCTTTGATTTCTGAGCAGCCGACACCGAAGCTGGCAGCGAGGTAAAAAAAAAAAAAAAGGAAAGAAAGAAAAAAGCGTTTGCGGCTGTCAGACTGAAGGCAGCTGCTCTGGACGCCAGAAACTTCCTGCTGCCTTTAAAACAGCGTCAGGAACCAACAGGACCGCTGAGAAGGACTGAAAACCTGAAACAACCTAAAACACAACCTCCTCCTCCTTCCTGTGTTTGCTGAGTAAAGGACTGATCAGAAAAACCCAATAAGTCAGATTTCTGACCGTGAACACGTCATGGTGACTGTAAAACATCTCAGGCTGGTTCAGGTCCACTACGGGGTTAAAAACACACCGGTTTCTCTTCATCATTAAACAGTTTAGAGGGTTTGTTTTACAGCGAAGTCAACTGGACTTCTGCTGGCTGCATGAAATGAACCAGATTCACAGATCTGAGGGAAAAACTGACGTTTTCTCTGTTTCATCACTAAAGTTTTGACCAAACATGAAGCTACGAGTTCATCCTGAAGACGGGTTTTGGTTTCAAAGCTTCAGCGTGTCGACAACAACAAAACAATCGTTTTTACTGTCGTTTAGTTTGGATTAAACAACTGTTCATTAAAAACATGACAAACTGAATGTGGAGATTTATTTTGACATTTTGAACTTTTTACTTTTTTTAAAAACCATTTTGAAGATTTTTTGAGTCGAGCTTTTAATCATTTGGAAACGTTTTGAATCATTTTTGTCAGATTTTAAGTAATTTTGGACAAATTCTTGAACCATTTTTGTAATAAATCCCTCTGAGTCCCTCTGGAAACGTTTTGAGTCCTTTCAGAGAATCTCCAGTGACTTTGGAAACGTTCCTGTCAGTCGATGCCACTAAACAGAGCGTCCAGATGAATCCCTCGTTCCTGTTTGACAGATTTCTGAGTCACTCTGGAGACATGTGGTGTCATTTCTGTCCAGCTTTAATGTGTTTGGACACTTTGCAGAAGTTTTTAATCATTCTGGAGAATTCTGAGTGACTCTGAATTGTTTTGAGTCATTTTTGTCAGACTTTTCGTGACTTTGGAAACGTTCCTGTCCGTCGATGCCACATGAGCAGAACGTCACCGTTTAACTTCCTGTTTGTGTTTTACATGTTCAGTCATCGTCGTCCTTATTAATGAGGAAAGCTCGTTATGAGCGACAGCTTCTCTGCCGTCACACGCTGTTAAAACATCTCATCTGATGTGTCTTGACTCCAAATATGAATTATTGGCCTTCTTGGTTCACCTCGATCTCTGACTCACATCATTATGGAGGATAACGTCCTCGTTATGACTGAATCGTCTGATCCAGTTCTTGAAGCTCAGTCATCGTCCTGTTCAGCTTTAAAAGGTACAAACAGATAAAATGCACTTTTTATCCACTTTATTTTATGAATTTTCCATTCCAACATCATTTAACTGACACATCACTGCAGAACCACCAGAAGCTGGACCTGGATGACAGCAGTCAGCTGATCAGGACGTGTTTCTGTTTGTTTGATCATTGATTTGTGCTGAAGCCCAGTTTCCTGTTTTATTCTGTTAACAGCTGCTGCATAAACAGTTATAATAACCCCAGGTTTTACTGTAGAGGTCCCAGCAGCCCACATGGTGAACATTTATTATTTAAGCAGACTTCAGCCTCCTGATCAGACTCAGATCCTCATCAGCAGAACTGGATGTGAACGTTTGGCGCCACTCAGACGTAAACGTGCAGAACACAGACATACGAGGTAATTAGCTCTAATTACTCCTAAAATACTGATACTGTCGTTAATCAGCAGCCCGTGGAGCTCCGTGACCTCCGGAGTGTTTTCATTCAGACACAAACCGCAGAGTTACGAACAAACTGCGTCTAAAAGGCGCTAAAACAAACGGTGCTGATTGGCTGAACACGAAGCTGAAGCCGGAAATAAACGCGTTTCTTTTCCTACCTTCATGTCCGGACGCACCGCGGAGCTCACGGACCTTTTACAGACTTTAAACCTCTGAATGAACCCGCAGAGACGCTTCAGGTGGGTCCGCACGGGCAGCGCCATGTTGGATCCTGGCTTCACGCTACGGCGGCTCTGGAAGGACAAAAAGGCGGAGCCGCGTTTCAGCGATTTAATAATAGCGGTGAACAGAAACGTGGAAGTCAGAAGGAAAGTTAAAGTCAACAGCAGGAATAATACTAAAATAATAAGAAAATAATAATAAGAAAGAGAAAAACGACTTAGGAGGAGGAGAAGTTGTTTGAGGAAGAAGGAACAAAGAAAGGGAAGAAAAATATGTAGAAAGAGGAAGAACAAGGAAAAGGAGAAAAAACACAGAATTGTAAGATAATAAATATAAATAAACATACAGAATAATAAATAATAAATAACATACACATGAATGTAAACTGTGCATCGATAACATCACTTTATGCAGCAAAATAACCTGAATGTTGTCCAGATATCAGTGGATCTGTCAAAGAGAATTAAACTATTATATACATACATACATATATAAATAAAACGAGGCAAAGCAGGTTCAAGATAAAATGATGATTAAATTCCAAAGATTAGGACCATTAAGAACCAGAAGACAATTAAAGATGTATTTATTTAAAAAATACACAAATGGAGACAGAACTTCTTGTTTCTCCTTCAGATCACATAAATAGTCAAATAACTCTCCTGTAAACAAATAAAGCAAAAAAAAAAAAAACATTCCACAACAGTTTTTAAAATGTTCATTACTCATTTTTTCTCTCGTTTTATTACTCAGACGTTTCTTTGTCTTTGTTTCGCAGCTTTTTCCTTTTTCCTGACATCATTTTATGTTTTTTTATCAGTCAGGTGGAACCAGGACAGAACCGGCTGAGTCTGGTCATTCCAGAACTTCTTGGTTCTGATGAAACACATGAAGGCAGGAAGAGGAAGCTGCACCTTTAGCTGTAGACAGAACCGACACAGCAGAACCTGTGACCAGCTCCGAGCCGCCTCTGGGCCGATGGAGGCCGATGCTCAGCAGAGCCGTGCGCTGGGCTCGGTGTCGGAGGGCTCGGTGTCGGAGGGCTCGGTGTCGGTGGGCTCGGTGTCGGAGGGCTCGGTGTCGGTGGGCTCGGTGTCGGAGGGCTCGGTGCTAATCGAGGCTGTTGTGTCTGGACGCCTCCTCCCTTCAGGCAGCAGCTGCAGAGCCGCTCTACCTTCTCTGCTCTAAGGTTACTGAATGCTTGCAGGGCATCTCGCGGCCTCTTGTTTCTCAGACATCTGCTCCTGATCTTTTTTTTTTTTTTGCATCTGGTTGCATTTGCAGAATTCAGACTATCATTCCATATTCATTATTATTTCCCGAGGCGCTGGAGCTCTTTGGTGCATTCTGAGCTTCTCTCACGGCCGGCTGATGGAGATCCGGAGTCCGGCTTTGTGCTGCTGCTGCTCCTGTTTCCTGAGCGACCACCCAGGAGGTCTGCGCTCCGGTCGCTCCTCGTCTTGTTCCAACAGCAGAGAGTCCAGTTCTTCTGTCTCCAGCTCTGCTCGCTCTCTAATGTGTCTGAGAAACTCCACATTCCTGCAAAACTACACAAACTCTCACAAGAAACATTAGATTTTTAAAAAGTGCAGCTCTTCAATTCAATTTTCCAAATTCCAGAAGCACACATCTGTTCTTGTTTCACGATTTCTTTTGGCAACATCTGTTTCATCTCCGAGCATCATTTCTCAGTTCTTCTGCGTTCTCATGAATAAATGAATTAACAGAAAGCTGCTGCAACCTGTGGCTCACAAACGTTTAATTCCTGCAAAATGTAGGTAAAGAAGCTGTTTAAAAAAAAAAGAAAGAAGCAAACATCTGCTTTTGTTTGGAGGTTTTCTGTGTGATGATCTGATTATAAATATTATTTTAGGAATACGCAGCATTTACAAGCAACTCTGAAATAATCATAAAAATCATAAAACTGGATTCTGACAGAATTCAGGACGCTGTGGAAAAATAAAATAAGATTTTAAAAATCCATGGAAACAGGAGGAAGGAGTCAAAACATTGTTAAAAACCTGAAATACTTTAACATTCAAAAAGTACAAAAAACAAACAAAAACAAAACGTAAAATCTGTTTAATGACATTTGTTCTGTATTTAAATTCAGTAAAACTGAGGAAGTAAAAGCAGAACATTGTTGTGGACATCATTAAAGGTTTTGACCAGTTTTTATTGGAAATAAATATTAATAATTATTTAAAATAAGGATTTTTCTTCATTTTTTGTGTTTGAAGTGAACATGATTTGCATTTTTGTGTCTTTTTTTGTAAATGTAAATTAATGCCTATTTTCTGTAACTTTTCTTGACTTTATTTTTAATTGAACTAAACAGGGAAAATCTGTAAAATAATAATAATAATAATAATAATAATGATGTTTTACCTTTTTTCAAACCTTAATATTTTTTTCCAAACATGACAAAAACCTGTAAATGTTATTTTTTCTAATTTAAATCCAGTAAAACTTTTGTAATTTTCAATCCAAACGTGGAAAAAGAACAAATCACCACAGATTCATATAAAACACAGATTTATGGACGTTATTTTCATAATTCTTAATTTTTGGGGGTTTTCTCTGAATTTATTAGTTATTACAAAACTGAAGGACTGACATTATGTTCTATCTGTACATTTATTTATTTATTGTTCTTCTTAATTGTGTGGTTTTAACTTCAAACATGTGAACAACTGTTAAACTGCTGACGTCATTTACTTCATTTATCTTTTCTTTCTGTGACTTTGCTCGTTATTATCTGTCAATTAACAAAACAGGAAAAACCTGAGTGATGATTTGAGACTTTTCTACATTTTCCTGCTCCGTTAATCCGGCATCATTACTTCAGCACTAATTGCATTAAACAGCTCATAGGAAGCGAACGTGGTTTAAATCGCTGAGGTGGTAAAACCGTCCGTCTGTCTGCAGCAGAGAAGAAGAACCAGCGCCGGCGGTCGGACCTCTGGAGGCCGAGCAGGCGATGAGTGAAGCCTCGGAGCTTTCATCGCCGGTCTTCTCCCTCTTCAGCAGCAGCAGGATTCATTTTTCATCCTCAACAGGTTCTGTGGACCTCCTGCTGCTGCTGCAGCACCGACCACCATCTGCATCATCTGTCCAGTATCCAACCTGTTACTCCTGTTTTCCTTCTTCCTGCTCTTCATAGTGTCGGCCCTCTACATGCCTGCAGGCGTCTACATGTTCTCCTCCATCTGCATGTATGCACCATGGACTATAATCATAAACAATGAGGTTCTGTCTATCTGGACTCATGCAGAACCTGCAGATCCAGACGAGTGGTGTCTGAAGCCGTCCACCCAGTCGCTGCCCTCCATCTATTCACTTCTACACAGTGAAGAAAAGAACTTCACGTCTTTGTTTGTGCTTCCATCCGTTAAACATTTCAATGCAAACTATTATTTCTACTGTTCATGTGTTCATGTTGTGACTGTAACGAGGATTCACCCTCCTTTAACCGCTGTCCAGTGTTGGATCGAAGGTTTTTAAAAACATTTAGCCCCAGAAAGACTCTTTCATGTCAAAGTGAAAACAGACGTCTTCAATGTCACTTAATGAAATAAACAAACCTTAAAGAAGTGATCTTGGTTTTGTAAAAGCTACAAAACAACACGAATGAGACACAAACCAAGGAAATGAGACGCAAGAAACTACGTCTGAACATCATAAACTACGTCCTATAAAAATAAGTGGTAGCGATCAAAGTCACGTCTCAACAGACTAGAAATTATGTATTAACACTAGAGAGTTCACCTTAATACTATAAAATACATCTGAATACTAGAAAACATATTTTAATGCTACAGAAAACGTCTGAACACCAGAAAATCTGTCTGAACAACTGAAACACATCCTAAAAGACTTTAAATGATGTCTTCAAACTAGAAAACACACCTTAATACTACAAAATACATCCTAAAACCATGAACAACATCTAAACACCGTAAAATATGTCTTAACGCGAGAAAACACGTCTTATAAGACCAGAAATTGTTTAAAAACTACAAAACACTTTAAAATACGTCTTAACATGATGAAATACATCTTAGGTCTAAAATATGTCGTAACAATCGAAAACACGTCTTATAAGACTAGAAATTAAAAACTACAAAACCCGTCCCAACACTCTGAACTGTCAGAACCCTGTGACCCGCCTCCAGCTCAGAGCCTGATGGTCCGTGTTGCCGGTTCGGGACCATCAGCTGGACTCTGCTGTTCTCGGTGCATTGTGGGAAACTGTGAGCGACTGAACATCCGGACAGAACCACCGAGCGGAGACCTCCCTCCGCCGGTGTCGGGTGAAACCTCGTGGTTTCCCTCCGAGCTGCTGCCGGCGGCGGCGGCCGACGCTCCACCTGTCATAACAGAGCCGAGGCGAGGCGTGATGGGAGTCGGGGGGCGCCGCTGAGTGAGGGGAGTGTTTTCTGGTCTCTGGATCCCGACGCTGAAAGACTGGATCTCCCCTCTGACACCGGAGCCGCGGGACGCCCGCCACCCAAGTGGACGGACGGACAGAAGACGTGCAGCCGAGCGATGGACCGGGTCGCCGTCCGAACGCTTCAGGGACGGAGTTCAGCTTCACAAAGTGACAACGAGGACAAAGCGAGCAGCAGAAAGCGTGAGCGGCTGAAACGGGTCTGCGACCGCACACGGGCCTCCGATCCTCGGGAAGGACAACAAACATCCAGGACCAAGTGTTCTGTGTAAAGCCGTGTTTGCTTCCCCGAGGACGGTCTGGGTTTGATTAGTGAGAGGAACACGTGTCTGAGCAGAGCCGGGCTGAACCCAGGAGCTCCACGAGGACGTGAAGCTTTACAGAAACCTGAACGGATGGACAGACGTGGGTCATCTGCTGGGCAGAGCTCAGCGGCCAGGTCGGCTCCAGGGTTTCATCATCCGACGCCTTCGCCTCGAAAACATGCAGCACGTTTAATAAAACATCAGATAAAGCTGGTTGTTGAGACATAATCAGTGTGAATAAAACAG